GACGAGGGGCGCGATACCGAGCTGCGCGGCGGTGGCGTAGCAGCCGGGGTTGGAGATCTTGTCGGCCTTGTAGATCTCGGAGCGGCCGGTCAACTCGGGCAGACCGTAGGTCCAGGTGTTGTCGAAGCGGTAGTCGGCGGATAGGTCGACGATGACGCTGCGGTGGTCGGCACCGCCCTTGCGGGCATCAGCGATGGCCTCAATATAAGGCTTGCAGACACCGTTGGGGAGAGCCATGACCCAGCAGTCGATGGCGCCCTTCTTCTCGAGCTCGGTGACCTGGTCGGGGCTCAGGTTCTCGTAGGTGATCTCGCGCTTGGTGTAGCCCTCGAGCTTCTGGCCGGCGAGCTCACGGGACGAGACGTGTCTGAGGTCCATGTTGGGGTGGGCGTTGAGCATCTCAATGAGAGCCTGGCCGGTGTAGCCACGGGCACCGATGAGAGCAACGCGGGAGGGGACGTCGTTGGAGGCGTTCTTCTTGCCCAGAGGGGGGTTGGGGTTGGTGGTGGTGTAGGTGGCGAAGGTGCGCTTGCCGGAGAGGGCAGCGGCAGCCGGAGCCCATGTTGGGCGGCGAGCCATCGTCGAGAAGCCACGAGCCTGGGCGGGGGTGGAAGACTGGTTGAGGTTGCGGCTCGAAGTCTGGGCGGCGCGGCGGAGGCGGGCCTCAAGGTTGGAGTCGCCGAGCATGGCTCTACCATGAGCGTTGAACTCATCGGTCAAGACGCCGAGCTCCTGAAGGTTGTCGATGCCGTACCAGAAGAGCTGGTTGCCCTTGCTGGAGAAGCTTCCGTCAGCCTTGTCGAAGAACCAGGTGAGGTTCTCATCCTCCTCGCTGACGGTCCAGACAAGCTTGGGGTGGTCCTTCTTGATGGCGTGGAACACGTTCTCGGTGACGTTGCTCAACCATCCCTCCTTGGTGACGGTAAGGGTGGCCAAAGTCGGGTGGGATCGGTTCTCGTTGGGGGGCAGGACGATGGCGAGGCAGTTCAATGGCTCGTCGTAGTAGGCCTTGAAAGGGGTGCCCTTGAGGAAGTCGATGTAACGGTCGACGGTGGCCTCGGCGTCCATGCCCTCGCGGTCGCGGATGAGGGTCTGCTTGAGCTTGGCGAGGTCGGGGAACGACTCGATGCTGTCGGAAAAGGCAATCTTGTCGCCGCGGCGAATCAGGGTACCGGCACCAGAGTCGGTGAACAGTTCCTTCTGCAAGTCGCTGGGGTGGATGATGGCAACGCTGGAGCTGCGGGGCAGGGTCTCGAGAAGCTCCTTGATCTCCTTGATCTTGAGGCGAGTCCCGTAGCGGCACCAGGACTGAGACATGAGGTGGTCGTACTCCTCGTCGAGGTTGATGTGAGAGATCTTGTCGCCAGTCTCGCCGTTGAACAGACCACCCTTCTCGGAGAGGTAGACAATCTTCAAGGGCTCCAATGCGCGGGCCAGCTCAGCCGCGGCGACATCGGCGTTGACGTTGAGGATCTGACCTTCGGTGGTCTCGGCCATGGAGGTGAGAATAGGGACATAACCCTGGGAAATGGCAAGCTCGACGGGGGCCTTGTCGACGCTGCTGATCTTGCCGACAAGGTTCCACTTCTCCTTGTCGAGGTAGTCGGCGGTGAGGACGGTGGTCAGAGGGCGGGTGCGGACGCCGAGGCTCTCGAGCTTCTCGACGAGCTTCATGTTCTCCTGGAGGAAGAGCTTGCGGGCGACGGTCAAGGTCTTGCCATCGGTGACGCGGATACCTTCCTCGAACTGGGGCTCAACACCGGCCTCCTCGAGGAGACGGTTCAACTGGGGGCCTGCGCCATGAACAATGACGGGGTACAGGCCGACCTCGTAGAGGAAGGCAATGTTCTCGCAGAGGTCATCAATGTAGTCGGTGAGAATGGCACCACCGACCTTGATGACGGCGAACTTCTGGGAGGAGACGGAGGTAAAGTATGAGAGGTATTGCTGGCCCTCGCGGCGGCTGCCGATCTGACTCAGTGTGCGGATGATGATGGCGCGGGTACGGTCGCGGTTGGCCTGCTCGGACTGGGAGCTGGTGGAGGAGAGGGCGCGGATGGCGTTGAGGCGCTGGAAGGGGTTGTTGGCTCGGGTGACGGCCATGTTCTGGCGACGAGCGACACGAGGCACGGCGCGGCGGGCGCCGGCCCGAAAAACGGCAGAGGTTGCGGAGAGCATCGCGACTATTTGGACTTTGGGTGGGGAAACAGGTCAGTGAGGTTTACGACGTTGGCGAAGAAAGCAATTGAGAAGCAGAGATATGTATTGCGTGCTCTTCGCCGTCGTCATCTACTCTTTCTCTCCATGCTCTCTTCTATCCGCATCGTATTCCCTCGTCCTCGGTGTCGTTCCGGTCGGCATCCCGAGGAACGGCGGTAGAGCAATGTGGAGGCGGATGGACTCGACGAGAGGTATAGAAGGGGGGAGGAAGACGTTTGGGTGCAATTCAAGGTGGGTGAGCTCCTTCACGGAGCATTGGAGGTCTGGGAAGGATAGAGAAGACTCACACACACACAAACACCTCACACAACAGACCCAGGCAGATTAGCTTCGAACTCGGTCTGACTGACTGACTCTCTCTCTGACTCTTCTAGCTGCCGGGAAGAGTGTCCAATTCCAGTTCAATTGAACAGCCCGGGAGGGTATAAGGGGTGATTGACGGGGAACGGAAGAAGGTAGGAGAGAGCAAGAAAGTAAAGGAAGAAAGAGGGAGAGGAGGGAGAGCGTAGGTGTTGAGGAATCGGAGAGACGAGGCTTTTTACTTTTTGAGGCCTGCGAGACTGTGACTGGACGTTTTTGGTGGTGTGGTGGGCGGTGGTGCGGTGCGTGGGCAACAGAGCCGGTATGATGCAGTGGAGGTGTGGAGGAGGGGCAGGGGCACCGAGCACCCAGCAACTGTGCAGGGCCGCAGGCAGGAACCTGAGCGGGAAGCAATTGGCGAGCACCTTCCACCTCACTACTCGGCCAAGGGAAAAAATCGACCGGTACCGCTCTCCGCTGCCATTGGCAGTCTGCATCGGCTCGCCGCCGGCCGCCCACACTTCGCATCCGCATCTGGGGCACCATTTGACAGCTGGCAGCTCATCGGTGACATGCGATCGCGGCGATTTGGAAAGAGCCAGGAACCTCAGGTATGCGCCGTCTAACAATTCTCTCTTCTTTCTCGGTGCTACAGTCTTTTCTTTCGTGTTTCCGCCTCTCCAAATACTATTCTACTGGAAATTCTCTTCTTCCCAGTGTCACGAAACCTCGAGCAAGTCGAGCAAGTCAAATCCCAACCAAGAAACACTCCCGCTGCACCACCCGTCACCACCACCCTCATCCATCCGTCGAACCTCAAAACGGGAAAAAGGGCCCCATCACGAGTGGATACCCCGGTTATTGGTCGGATCTGATAAGGAATCACCCCGGTACGTACAGATCACCAAATGCGTGTGCTGGGCCACCGGGATCTGCAGCAGCCATGCACTTTTTTTTTTCTTCGCTGCACTGCACTGCACAACAAGCTAAAAGAGGCATTTCCGTAACCTGGAAAATGTTACTTGAAAATTTCAATTCTTCTCTCGGCTAGGTGGAGTAATGGGGGAAGAGCGAGAGTGCCTGACACGAGCCGAGGCAGACCAGAACATCCCATCTCAATCGTTGAAGATGTTTGGAGTGTTGTTTCTTGAGTGACTGCTGTTTTTTTTTTTGTTTTTTTTTAACATCGTGACCGTGCATATGTAGCCCGGCAAATGTCTAGACCACACATGAAGAAACAACATTCCGGCAACCAACCAACTCGCGTCTAAAGCAAACCATCCATCTCTCTCAAGTTCCAACAAAGCCTGATCCTCCAAAAAAGCACGGCGGCACAGCGTTAGTACCCTCCCTCCTCTCTAGACTCCTGTCGTCCCTGAACCATGTGGAAACGACGAAAAAAAGAGTGGACATCGAATGTCAACTCTAAACGCCTTCTCGGATCCGTACCGCCGCTGGCCCAAATTCCGACGCAATCCCGGGGACCGGCGCAGAGATCGCCGAGCTTGAGATGAACCATTCAGGACCTGGACCTGTCATGCCATGCTGCCTTACCTTGTCTTGCCTTACCTTACTATACGGATATACTCCCGTGCATTTACTGCCACCTTATCTAGCCATGGCCCACGGCAGTATGCAAGACTGACTGGCTGGCTGGTCCTTATTAACCTACCACGCCTACTTTCTACCCATCCACGATTCCACACACACTTGTACGCACACCGCTGGAGATCGTGGCCCCGATCGCATACGTAGTAGACTCCTCTAGAGCGGGTTCGTCTACCGAGGCTGGCGGTTTCGGAATTCCTCGTGGATCCATTCTCTAGGCCCTGGAAGCTTGATTCCGATATCATGGTCACATTGAGCAAGTTTTGAACGGCATGGTTTGGTCTCTCTATTCTCTTTGATCGGCACGTAATGGGATGCGGGAAAATGGATTCATTGGTCATGCACCAATAATAAATCATAACCTTGTAGTCACAGTCAAAGGGCTCACGGAAAGTTCGGACGCCGTATAAAAGATCTCGCAGAGCTGCTGTATACGAAAAAAGACTCGTCACTTCATTCATATACAACGAGCGACCAGACTGGATATCAAAACCAGGGCCAGTGAGAATTCAAATTACGCAAACGCCTGCCATCCCTCATACATACATACGGTTGATCCGCAGCCGGGCCGTTGCGGCTGGCTAGCTTCCTCGGAACGAATTCCGTAGCCGGCCAGCAGCAGGCCTTTGCATGCAGACCGTTGAAGTAGATCGGAGTCCGTTTCGAACAACCTCCGCGCTTCCCAAGTCATTAACCCATAGAGGTTGGCTCTGTGTGCCGCCTCATCCCCTCGTCTCCCACGGTTGCTCGAAGCCTGCGAGATATCTGACAATTCATTTCCATATCATGAGGGCGAACCATGAGCCCAAGGGGCTAGTGTAATGCAAAAAGTGTGGTATCTGTTACTTGCGAGTAGCAACAACTGAGGGGGTTTACGTTAGCGCGTTGCGACGACTACAACATCGACAATGATTAGAGCCACAGAACAGAGACAGACGCCGCGATCCAAAGGAAAAGCGCTCGAGAAAAATGGGGGACATACCGGCTGGAATGACAATGATGAGAATGAGGATGATGATGCCGGCGATCAAGCACATGCGCATCTTGACGTCCTTCCACCACATCTGCTTGCGGACGCGGTTGGCGCCCCGGCGGAAGCCCTGAGCTGACACAGCCAGGTTGTCGGTCTTATCTTGCAGAGCATCCAAACGCTCGCCTCTTTGGGAGACCTTGTTGATGTTCTCGCGCATCACGCCGACGGTGTCGTCGATTTGCTATAAATAGATCATTAGCACATGACTCTGGTGACACGGTTCCGAGTACGCAGTAAGCGAAACAAATTTGCCCCTGATTGCAATGCCAGCGACGAACAATGAAAAATCGGGGGCGGTTGTGGTTCTTGATGTTCAGTTGCTGTGCGATTGCGGAGAGTCGGTAAATTGCATCATGGTCAATTCGCTGGAGATTTCCATGTTGCGGATATCGATTGCGTTGGCTAGGAGACACGGTCGGCATTCTGACAACCATCACCGACGCGATCGACGTTGTCAGGTATGACGACTGTTTATCTCCCGCTCAACGGCGTACAGTATTGCTTGTCATCGAAATCCGGCCGACGAGCTGAAGAATTGATGCGATACCCCAATCAGGCGTAGTTGGCGACAGCTTAGTTCGGGCGGGTAGCTCGGTCGGTCGTCGTCATCAGGCGTCGGGCAATCCGGAGCAAGAGGTTGAACCAAAAAAAGAACCACCTCACGATGGAAACATCAAGAAAAAAGCAGCGCAACTTACAGCTTGCAGAGCCTGAGTTCTCGCATTGCCGCCAGCTCCTCCTTGCTGTTGCGTGCCGGCCGTGTTGGCAGCCTGGCCGCTGGGGATGTACGGGTCGTAGGGGGCGTCTTCGGGCATTGTCGCTGTGGTGATGGAGATGTGAGAAAGGTGAACTTGGGGTTTGCCGGCGGAGCTCGAAGCTGCAGCTGGTGGATGAAAGTCTTGCTTCGGACGAGCAAGATTGAGGATTGAGTTGAACGAGGTTCCGGGTTTGTTGGAGGATGCAAATGGCGATCGGTCGCGGTTTGTTGATTGATGGCTGTAGAGTGTGTGAAGTGTGGTTGGGAAAGAGGAGAAAAGGTGGTTGGAGCCTTGGAGGGTGTAGGCGGGCTGATGAGGTGGTTAAGTTCAGGTTCAGGTGATGAGACGCCTCCCGCTTGGGAAAAGAGGCGAGAGCCCAGCCGAAACAAGGTGCCCGTCTGAGGATTTGGGGGGATGCACTGCTGTTTCTTGCCGGGGGTGGCACGGGGGCACGGGGGGTTTCCAGGTTGGGGTGGTGAGGAAGACTCAAGACGGTCGGAAGGGGACGACGACGGCCACCTTGGGCGATGCTGGGCCACTAATTTTAGTCGAGCTGGGAACGACCCAGCCACTGGAACAAACTAGCAGCAGGACCTCCCAAGGGTTGGAAGAGGCGCAAGAGGCGCGCGACAAGGCAATGAATCCGACCGATAGCAACAAAAAACCAGTTGATTCCAATGGTCCATGGGTGAGATGGTGAGCTGCACGGCCATCAGGGACGGAGACGGGGCACTGGGGGTCGAGAAAGAGGGATGGTGGAACGGTGGATGAGGGCCAATCAAAACGACCGTTTCGAGCAGGTCGGAGACGGACTGAGCGGTACGTATCCTTCGTCCGGTGCCTGGGGAACCTGGCGAAAAATGGAAATGCGCAGTCAGTCACGAACGCAGTGCCAAGTGGCTCTCTTCTCTTCCGTCTGTGTCTTTTTCCAACTCAAAAGTCTGCTGTTCTTTTTGACTCTCCCTGCCTGCGGGTGGCCCATAGACATGACAAAGGCCCAGCAAAGGTTGTTCCCTGAATACGAGAGCATCTGGAAGCGTCTCCGGGCCAGCACTGCCATTCCCTCGTCAGCTCTTCCTTGAGAGGGGAGAGGACCACTAAGGTATCGCGGTCACGCAGACTCGTTCCAGAGACTATTCCCATGGAGACCTTTGCTCCGACCTTCCCAACTTGCTGTGCTGCACTGCTGGAGAAGGCTGGGCACTAGATTGGCATCAGCTTTCTGCGCAGCAAGGTGTTTTCTGGCGCCTCCCAAGCATTCGGAGCCAGTGCCACGGACTCGCGGCTTCTGATGTAATCGTCGGGGCGGTGCTGCAGGGTCGTCACGACTCACACAGCCTGGACCCGACGGAACTGAATTGCCCCGGAGCCATGACTTGCACCATGCCACCACCTCATCCGATCCCATCCTCAGCCTCTAAATTCCCAGGTTATCTCCTTGATGGCACGTGAAAGTCAGCCACGTGATACGCGTACTGTCTCCGAATACGATGACAAACTGAAGTCCGAATATTACCCGCCGAGTGTGGCTTGACTGTTGTACATAACCTTACGTAAGGCAACGCTAGCCTCGCCTGTGGCGCAGCATCGTGGCGCAGTCTCCAGCAGACCCAAGCATTACAGACCTGAATTTCTCTAATGCCTTTCGCCTGTCCTTAGCAGGAATCTAGAAACCAAAAACTCTCGCGTTTCGTCGACCTTAATAGATGATGATTTGAATCTATCAGGGTCTGGCGCCTTCAATGTTGGAGAAGATGACAGGATTAAAACGTTGTCCTCAACAGACCAGAGCTCCTCGAATGCCTTCCAATACATCGAACAGCGAAGCCAGTAGCACCCAATGCAAAGATGCCTATCTTGGCAATTCATTCCGGTCTCGTCCACTGAGAGAAGCGGGCATTCAACTCTTGGAGGAACTTTAACGGCTTGACGTTAAAAGCGCCTGCCGCTACTTCAACCTCCATCACGAGGACGTGAGACCTAGATGAAGCCGGAAACATCAACGCTGCAGCACGCGGTACATCGCCACGAACGCAAAGAAAACAACGGTATACCCTCATAACTGCCTGAGCCCGTGCCGCTCCCGCACGTCACGCACGTCCTGTATCGCCGTTGAAGGACCATCCCCCCATGAAGCACGCTGCGAAGCTGATCTTACCGCTTGCGATATCTCGACACCCTGGACGGTCGCAACTTCGTTTCATCGGCCTACCGGTCGGGCTGGCACGTTACCACGAGCGTTCAACGAGACAACTGGCAAGTGTCTACATGACCAGATGCGGTTGAACACATCACAATCTCAGGCTTGCTGCCGAGGAATGGACTTTCCGAGGCGCAAATTGCGCTCTTCGCAATCAGTAATGCGGAATGATGAGACTCAATGCCAGCGAACCAGCCGGTGACAAAGCGGTCCACGTACCACGATGTTCCGCTGGCATGCTACTTTACCGTTGCCTAGGCCAAATGGAAACGCATTCTTCAGTCTGGACGGCGATGCTTGGAGAGGCTCAGAGTGCGAGCCTGGCTGCATTCGCCATGCGATGGCTTACTCACGGCCAGGCCTACGAATGGGTCTTTGCATAAGATCGGCTCCGAGTTTGTGCCCCTACTAAGCGCGCTGGCGACTGACCCGATGCACTAATGGAATGGAGCGACCAAGTGCTGAAGCTAAATCGTTCGCGGAAATGGGTTCACTCGCTCGAGCAGCCGCCAAGCTTCAGGTTTATGAGTTCAAAAACGGCCTACAACGGCTGGGAACATGAGGACAAGGTCTTCCATCAACGCGACGGAAAACGGTCGTCTGATGTTCTTCGATTGTCTGTCCTGAAAGCATCACATCGCTCCAAAGCAAACAACATCCGAACCTGGAGGAATTCAGACCTTATTCTCGGCAGTCAACCTGGAGGATTCTTGGCGGCGGCCTACGGCGACTCCCCCGCTCGCTACCAATTCTTTACTTTTAAGCCCAGCAGCAGGGCGGCCCGGACAGCTTTGGGCTCGTTTTGGTGCTGATTGGACCAAGTCTAAAGTTCGGGACCAGCGGCATATTGGCCCTGTCGCTTCCTAGCCACCCCAGAAGCGATGCTGATCAACGACGTCAGCTGGCCCCATTTTATTCATGTTATTCATTCAAGTTATTCAAGCGGAACTCCAACAAGTGGCATCATGCGGCATGCCACCACCGCCCAGAAGCAGACGCAGATGGCTGCTTGCACCGCGCCGTCTCGCTGGGCGAGGTCGCAGCGCAAGACCAAGACACCAGATTAGTATACCATACTGAGAAGACACTATGGTGTTCTCAAAGTCAATTCACACAAGTGTCGTCCGGCTTTGACCAGATGCAAAGTCTAATCCGAATAATAACAGCTACAATGTCAATAATCGAAAGACGAACCAGTGGGTCACACGGCACTGAAAGCAGGCTTTAGGCCTGAGAGGAGACACAGAGGTACGAAACGCAGGCTGGGAAACATTGATGATTTAGTGTTTCTCGCAACAAACCTTGGGTCAACACCGGCACAGGGGGGGGGGGATCCAATACCTAGGTAGCCCCAACAGTTCCCGCCTGGGTTCCGGAAACGTCACTTAGTTACCTCCCGCAGTGCGAGCTGGGGGATGCCAGCAACGGGTCAGCGAAGTGCAGCACCAAGCTCATGGGATGGCAGGGGTTCGGACCACAGCCGGACGCGCTGTGGATGGGACGGTTGCACAAGCATCACAAGCATGTTGAACAAGCTTAGCTGCCAATGCTAACACCAGAAACAGAAGCAAGGAGGATGGCCAAAGCCCAAGGGCAGAGTGGCACATTGACTTGCACCAGGAGGAAAGAAACAAAATACCTCCCGGCAGGCTACCCAATGACTGGAGTTACTAGACGGCATCAAACACACGAAACCACAACAAGCACACACGGCGGTGAGACATTATCAAGTGTAAGACTGGGTCTCGTTCAGCTGGTTTCGCGATTGCTTGATTACCCAGTCTTACCAGTCCCGAAATGCACTCGGCTCTCATACCTCGGTGCCTGTCCTATTTGTTGTTTCCCCAGTCCAACTTTAGCCAGAAACGAAGGCAAATCTCGTCTTTGCGGGATCCTCTTTGCAAAGTTCGTATTGCTTTTTGGGAGCTATTAGTGGACCTCCGCCGCTCCTTTACTTCCCTGGGTCTCTCGACTCGAACGGTTCCGTCTTTGCTGGTGTCTTCGACTGCTCCTGACCAAACTCGTATTTACTTGGGGCTAGAAGCTGCTTCTCCCCTCCCACCTTCGTTTTTCGGTTTGTTTCTCACGGACGACTACGGCAGATGCAGACTTAGGAGCCAGAAGAAGCAGCAGCAGCAGTCAAGCAGTAGTGGCAGCAGCAAGCGTGCGCACCTCCACCTTACCGTCATCGCTCCTCTTCGATCCTTCCCCGGTTACTTCGGTCTGGACGACGCGAGCCTGGATCCTGAACCTGGCAAACTGGGCTTGCCTGACCACCTCGGAAACTGACAAGGTGCAACTGCTTCTTTGAGGGGTGTAGTGTGTTCAACCTGCACAACCTGCATGCACGTACATGCCAACACCAACATACAAGACCACGCACTTTCCCAGGCTTAAAGCAGTGTTGGTGCGTAAGTGTGTGTGTGGTGTGGACAGACCAGCCGCCATACGAATTCACCTCTCGTTTGTTGAAGAGGGGAAAAAAAACGCCAACCAACCTTGCCGGTTCTTAGCTCGCATCATCGGAGCTACTCCATTACCTCACGAACGTGGCCCGACTCCCATGCGCACCGTCTGCCCGGTTTATGCCAGAAAGTCTTGACATTGTGCAAGTTTTGGCCGCTTTCTTATTCCAACCTTGCAGCATCCACTCGTTCTCTATTTTGACACTTAATCGACGCTTCCCCCGGATTCCCAATCTTCAGTCCAACCTTTCATGCGGTCCGTTCATCGAAGCCAAGGATCCCTCCCACTGCAACCTACCGCATCATGATCGCAATGCGGGGCCGGCCGACATGGTCTTCTGTAAGCCGCCTTTTGCCGGCATTCTTACTGGCGACCGTTCAGGTCACCACGGCATACAATTTGGATACAAGTGATCAAGGTGAGCGCAAATGGCAGTCTGATGACGATCTCGACTTACAAGTGGTATTCTCAGCTGGTATCAAAACCATTGCGAGGTCAATGACTGAAGATCTCATGTCGTTCTACGACGGAGACAAACCTGGCAAGACCCCAGGCCTTCTTCCCGATCCATACTACTGTAAGTGCATATTCGAATCCTTATCTTACTCCCAACTAAAACCAGGACAGGGTGGGAGGCCGGCGCGATGATGGGCACCATGATCGATTACTGGTACTACACAGGTGACAGCACTTGGAACGATGTTGTCAGTCAGGGTCTCCTCCACCAAGTTGGCAAATTCAACGATTACATGCCAGAGAATCAGACACGAACCGAAGGAAACGACGATCAAGGATTTTGGGGGCTGGCAGTGATGTCTGCCGCGGAGTATGGGTTCCCCAACCCCCCAGACGACAAGCCACAATGGCTCGCACTGGCACAAGCCGTGTTTAACACCCAGGCTGCGCGGTGGGATCCTGACAATTGTGCAGGAGGTCTTCGATGGCAGATCTTCCAGTGGAATAACGGCTACGACTACAAGAACACTATTTCCCAAGCTTGCTTTTTTGCCCTCGCCGGACGCCTGGCTGTGTACACGGGCAACTCGTCCTACTCCGACTGGGCAGAGAGAACCTGGGACTGGATGGTTAACGTCAAGTTCATTTCCGACGACTACTACGTTTTCGACGGCGGCCACATTCAGTACAACTGCACCAACATCGTACCGTATCAATGGACCTACAATGCTGGTGGCATGATTCTTGGCGCTGCCGCCATGTACAACCACACTGGCAGCGAGGTGTGGAAGAACCGACTCGACGGGCTGGTGAAGGGTGCAGACGTCTTCTTTGTTGGCGAGGAGAAAAATATTATGCAAGAAGTAGCATGCGAGACGGTGGAACTCTGCAACCTCGACCAGCAGTCCTTCAAGGCATACCTCAGTCGCTGGCTGGCGGCCATCACCAAATGGGCCCCTCACTTGACTGATGGCATCATGTCCAAGATCCGTGCTTCATCTGTCGCAGCTGCATCGCAGTGCAAAGGCGGTACGAATGGACGAATGTGTGGGTTGAAGTGGACTGAAAATGGGACTTGGGACGGAATGCAGGGTGTCGGACAACAGATGGCGGCGCTCGAAATCACGCTCGGCAACCTCATCGAAAGTTCTAACGCACCTCACACTGCAGACGTTGGCGGCACTTCTCAGGGCGATCCTGGAGCCGGAGGTAACGATATTGGCCGGACGATCCCTGCGGTCTCGACTTTACCACCATTAGGCGGCGGCGATACGGCCGGTGCAGCAATTTTGACAATGGTTGTGCTTGGTCTCTTGATTGTGGGTGTCATTTTCATGATGTTGGACGAGACATCCAAGAAGCCCATGAAGGAGCGATTTTTCGATTTCCGGTCCGCGCTCCTCGGTGGTGGTGGCCTTGCTGCACTAAGTACTAGGCGAAAGAACGAAGAGATGAACGAAAAGGGCAAGGGGATCGATAACGATGCATCCAGTGAAGGTGGCAGTTCGCGTGAAAACGGAATACTGTCTCCTTTGCCAACGAAAGGATACACAATGAGCAGCCACCAAGGCCTACCACAGCGAGGAAGTGTGCTCTCTCAGATGAGCGGGACGACAGCAGTCACGGATCCGCCTCCAGGAATTCCCATGGTTCGAGAGAAGAGGTTGAGCAGGAAGAGCCGGAATCCAGGATTGCGCAACAGCATTGCGTCACAGCGATCGGCTCGAATTGAGTAGAACCTGTCAAGTTTCACTGTCAGGGATCGGAGCAAATTGCATTCAACATTAAAGGCGTTAAATGGCGAGGACAAACGGACTTCTGGAACATACTTGGATTTTACATATGCATTGGGTTGGCATCATCTGGCATTCATTGGAGAATAAAACCAAATAGTCATGGCCGGCTATTACGACACAACAAGCTCCAGAAAATCGAGAGCTGGGGAACAAACAGCCTACAACGCTTTGACGACCTGTACATAGATAGATGATGCCAATTGTAATTGAAGCCGCTATTGGCTACTCTCATAACGAGGAACTTGAGTAGATGAACCTGAGAATCGGCGGTGTAGTGACGGACTGGAAGCAAATGCAACACTTCCCGTCTGACGGGGCCGGCACGGCGCCGCTTCCTGCTCCGTCCGCCGAGTTGACGGGAGATTCTCGCGGCGAATTTTGTGGCGGAGCTCTCCACATAAGCTTGGCATCAAGGCGACATCCGTAGAGCTCCAGATAAGAATGAATGAGAACGGAGGATAGAGTTTCCAAGCCTTCCGGCACTTAATTTAATCAAGGAAACGCCAGAACTTAGAACGGGAGAATGCTCCCCGAGTGAGGCAGTAAGATTTGGAGATACTACGCAATTGGATGTGTTTTCTTGTGTCTCTCGCGTTTAACCTTCCGGTGAGCTTGTCACTTTGAAGTCTGACAGCTCAGCTATGAGCTCGCAGACGGGCCAGACCTGCACCCCTTGTCAATGGTGAAACTTTCCATGGATGTGCAACTACCTACCAAATATCCGTCCATACACTCGCACGCGGTTTTATATTTCCCCCGCTCCTAGAACATGGGAGCTCAGCCAATAAAGGGCTGGGTAATTCTGTTCACATGCCCGAACACGAGGGGGGTAAAGGGGGACAGAGGGATGTGGGGTGATTGTGGTGGTGTTGCGTGTCTCGAGGACGTGGTTGTGTAACCATGCCAGATGACGATGGCGGCACAATTACGGTCTCTTTATCGAGAGATAATAGGCTATACCGAGGCATCTTCTCATCCGTTGAAGGTGGTCTCTAAAGTCTTTCTCAGCGCTACTGGAGAGGAAGGAGCGAATTGGTGATCAGCCCTGCATGGCCATTTTGTTTCATCAAAAGGTGATGGTCGTCGCTGTCTCCGCGCTGTTTTGCGGGGGGATTAACACGATTTGTTGCTTAGTTACTTCAGTAGGCTATACGTACGGACCACAGAGGCAGAGAGGTATTGGAGGGGTCGAGAGCTAGCTTGGTGGCCGTAGCGTAGCGCTCCCGTGTGAAAGGTTCCTAGCGGTGCTAGTTGAGCCAAACTGCCGCTCTTGGAAGGAGGTGGCACCGGGGGGCACTAGGATATTATGTCGAGAGCTAGTTTAGGTCTGATTTCTAAAGATGGGGGAAGAGGGGAAACCATCGGGGATATCCATACGTTACTACGAGAGATGGCGATGTTACATCATTCTGCGGACTTGCGTCTCCTCTCTAGACGCACGCACATGGGATAGTATGGGAACTCGGCACGTCAACCATGTCTTTGATGGAGACTTTCATGTATAAGATATGCGAGTCTGGCCAGCATACATGTGCCTAGGTAAAAACCTAAGGTTTGGTCCTTTTAGAATTACTGATTACTTTATCTAGTGGGCTACTCCGTACCGAAACCGAAATCCAAAACAAACTGGGTCCCTTTTGTCTTTTGGAAGAGGGAAACCTGGGTGACATTAGTAGTCGAAGACCTTTTCCGTCTGATGTTGTACCGGCTTTCTATCGGACAAATCGGCACGGACTTTGGAAACGTGCGTGAGCTTTAACTGCGATTCAGTCCTATTCCAAAAGGTTGAGGGGTACCAGAGCTATAGATAAAAGACCAGGACCTTAACCTCACTTTGACATCTCAGAGTCGATTGAACTTTCTCACACCACATATCGACCAACATGGCGCGAGAATACCTATATGCAGCTTCATCGGCCGCCCTCGGGTCCTACATCCTCTGGACGCTGGCAGAGAAATACTTCACCTGGTCCCACGGCTCACACCTCACAGCAAACCACGCCCTCACCAGCCCGCTCCTCGCAACGCTCCTCGCCCTCCCGGCCCTCATCTTATACAAGAAAGCATGGTACCTCTTCAAAATGAAGGCCCTCCGCTGCGCACCCGCGCCCACGTACCCGCACAAGGACCCTCTCCTCGGCACCGACTGGATCCGCGCCTCGCTCGCCCGGCAAAAGGAGCACAAGCTCCTCGAGTGGTGGCAGGACCTCTTCGGCGCGCTGGGCAACACCTGGTGGGTCAAGACGCCCGGCGGGTGGGTGCTCATGACGAGCGAGCCCGAGAATCTGAAGGCGATTTTGGCAACGTCGTTTGAGGCGTTTCCTATTATCGGGCCGAGGCGGGAGGCGGTGCTGCCGATTCTGGGGGAGGATGCGATTTTCTCGGCCAACGGGGAGGTGTGGCATGGTGCTAGGGCGATGATGCGGCCTAGTTTTGTGAGGAATCAGATTGCGGATTTGAATTGTTTTGAGAGGCATGTTGGAGATCTTATTGGGAATATTCCCAAGGATGGGGGTATGGTGGATTTGCAGGCGTTGTTGTATATGATGACCATGGACTCGGCGACTGACTTCATGTAAGTGTCTCATAAGAAAAGAAGAGGTGGCAAGCGGGAAAGGCAGACATACTGACGATAACCTCAATAGGTTCGGACATTCTACCAACATGCTCACGACGCCGTCGCCAGAAGCCCGCGACTTCACTTCGACATTCGAATACATCACCACCCGTTCCGCCATCCGCTCCCGGCTCGGCCTGCTCACCTTCCTCGATAACGACAAGAAGTGGGACGAGGGCTTAAAGAAGATCCACGGCTTCTGCGACAACTACATTCGCAACATCCGGGAGGCCGACCCGGAAAAGAAGCAGGACCCCGAACGGGGCTACGTGTTCCTCAACGAGATGATTGGGAAGCCCGGCATGACGCCCGACTACATCCGCGCGCAGCTGCTGTCCATGATCCTCGCAGGGCGGGATACCACGGCGTCGACGCTGTCCGCGCTGTTTTGGATCTTGGCCAGGAGGGGAGACGTGGTGAGGAGGTTGAGGGACGAGGTGGAGGCGTTGGAGGGGCGGAAGCCTACGTGGGAGGAGATGAAGGACATGAAGTACTTGAACAATGTGCTCAAGGAAAGTAAGTTATTCGATGACTGTTTGGTAGGAGGGGACTTTGGGATAGAGTGCTGACGGTGCGATGCGTCTTACTAGTCTTAAGATTGTACCCGACTGTTGCGAGCATGTCGCGCGGCACAGCACGGGATACGACGCTACCTGTCGGCGGAGGGCCCGATGGGAAGTCGCCCGTTTTCATTCCGAAAGGCACGGCCGTGCGATGGTCTTTGTTCTGTCTTCATCGGAGGAAGGATCTGTATGGCGAGGACGCTGATGAATTCCGCCCCGAGCGCTGGGAAGAGATGCGGCCGTCGTAAGTTTTTGCACACCTTCCCACCTCTGTCGATCATATTCCTACCCTGAGTCTCTGTCTTTTCTTGATGAGAGGCTTCTGCTGACTGAATGGAATCAAACTTCACAGATGGGATTATCTCCCTTTCTCCGGCGGTCCGCGCATTTGCATTGGGCAGCAGTTTGCGCTGACACAGATGAGTTACTTTGTGGTGAGGATCTTGCAGACTTTCAAAGACATTCAACCGAGGGATGAGAGGCCCATGTTGCAGACTGTGGGCATCACGACGAAGCTGCCCAACGACGTCTTGTTGAGCTTTACGCCGGCTTAGAATTCGCTAGGGTTATAGTACGGAAGGCTGGTGTGGATTGGTGGGTTGAACATCATTCTAGAGAAAATTGCAGAGGGAGCTCTCCTTAATGACAATACTTGACGCGGCGGCGATTTGATTCCCTAAAGTAGTACATGTGTATGCCATGAGAGCCACAGCGGAACAGAGCCATTGCTAGAGATCGTTCACTTACGCTTCTCTATCAACTATCTGCCCTCGAATTCTATTTGCCCTCTCTCTGATCAACATCCATTGTGGCTATTTTCATCTTGATCGTTTTGCTGCTTCAGAATGTGGACGTTTCGTTTCAATTCTGAGTCGTTGAAAGGAAAAACGACACATTCACTTCATCGATCATTAACCGATTCCTCAACGCATCACTCTGAGCAACCACTCAAACGACTGCCAAGAGTGTCAACGCAGCCAGACGGGGTGGCTTCAATCCGTCTAACACCCTGTCAAAGATCACGCAGCACCAAGAGCCCTCGAAAAGCGACACCGCGGCATGCAGGTATCCCGCCTGCATCCCACAACACCGGCAATGCAGCCAACGATTGAAAATGATGCGTCGCGCACTGGTTCGACCCCAGATACCACGATACCACCAACCTCTGCACGATACACCCGCAGATTGGATGCACCGGTGACATGCTGGGTCTCTCACACACCATCTACTTTTTCATTCGTCTCATGAGGAGCGACGGACAGTGATCAGAGTTGCGTTGCATGGTGCAGATGGGGGGGGGGAGGGGTCGAGATTCTGGTGGTACCATTGTGCATATTACATGTCTTCTGGAAGCGAGAAATCGATGAAAAAACAGTCTCACCTCGTTGTCGACATCCCCAGCACGATCGGTTTTAGGGAAGAAAAAGTTCCATGCTACTGCTGGTCACGCCTTGGCAGGATGCGCGGTCGGCGAGTTTGCGGATGCAAGGGCTTGCAGCAACCGAAGCCATGTCTCAAGGCCACCGCCTACCACCCCTGGTCGAGGAATAAGAAACGTTGATGGCCAATCTCAATCTCATCTTCTGAACCGGCGTTTCTCCCTCGAACCTTTTTCTGGGGCCATGACGATGGAACTAAAGGTCCAGTCTCGTCCAGCGAGTCATTAAAAGAGGGCGAATCTTTATGTTCGCGTTAGACATGTACGGGAACCTACATATTCGTGCAAGGGCTAAGTAGACCCGATTGTGTCCCGTTACGTGACGGGCTAGAGGGAGATGACAAGCGGGAGTGAGCTTTCGAATCTGGACTGTGACGGGGCTCCCGTTCTGAGAGTGGAGGATGAGAGGTCGGCTTCTTGAGGTTCAACCTGCCTCGTGGCGCCGGGAACGTCGATGCGTGTAGCCGACTCGACAGCTCTCACCCAGATCTCTTGCTCAAACTTGGGTGATCACAGGATGAAGGGAAGCTGATTCGATATTGCGCGTCCTGGCACCAAAGAGGAGGTACGTGTGTTTTTTTGTCTGGTATTCACTGTTTTCCCTGGAAAGAGGCCTGTCTTGGTTGGATCTGAGCTCAAGACTTTTAGAGCCCTCGGTCAAGATACGTCGAGACTTGAGGATCTTTTGCTAGGTACATGGAGGACACTCGTCCAAGACTGCCAGTTTCATCGTCCCGTTGGAGCGAGACAAGAGAAGGCAAGGCGTTAATTAGTATCTTCACTAGCAAACACAAACAGCCCGGGGGTCTACGGATATATGATGGAGAAGGAAAGGTGGAAATGGCGCAGCGGACAAGATCTAAGGTTATTGTTGGGTTGCGGAAAGGGAGGTAGACACCCACGTTCCAACACCTCTTGCATGCCCCTTTAGGAAGCAAGCAAACTAACATATTTCTTCTTCCAACGCGATCTACATTTCTGTTTGTCACGTTTTCTCTACCAAGACTCCAGGACAGGATAGACCGAGAGAGAGTCGAGGAACAGACTAGAGCAATAGAGTCAAAGCCAGGCACAGAAAGGGTACGTTCCGTTGGTCAGTAGACAAACACCGCAATCTAGAGCCGCACAAACGACTGACCACCAGACGGGAGTGCCGTTTCGGCTAGCCGCAGAAGGATAGGTCCTCGTTCGGTGAGTTTCCCCAAGCCGGTCGTCGTTGGCGACAGAAGCAAAGATGAAGGGGTAAACCGCAGATGGATGAGACCAGACTCCCTCACCCCCCCCCCTTCCTACCGAAAAAGGGGGCGAGAAGTAGGTCCGGGTTCCCGCGTAGGATGAGCACGAAAGCCGGGGTAGCTGAGAGACATGGACGGATAGTCCAACTTAACATGATCATCCTGCACAAGGAACTTGTAGTCTGCCATTTCTCTCTTGATTCTACAATTTCCACTGCCGTGGGACGAAGAAGAAGCGCCTTGTCTTCTCCCAGGACAATCCCTCGTTCCTACAAGATTCCCGGAGTCCTGGTCCTGCTTCACCGAACTCACGCATTACCTGTGTACGCAAAGAGCTCCAGAACGCCCGCCCACCCTTGACACAGCTCCCGTCTCGATCCATGATTGCCGGTCCTCCCCCCCCCCCTTCCATCCCCCGGACCGCCATTGAACGCCTCTCCCGTAGCCCACGCTCCCTAGACTGGATCATCTGAGCGTCTCTGCCGTTCAAACGGGCAAAACAAAGAACACCACACACACACACCTCCCTCGCCCCTCTAGCCGCAAGCCATGTCTTTCTACGAAGGCGACAGTCGCACCGGTCCTCAACCAGCGCCGCCGCCCCGAGCCCTCACGGCCGGCGAGATCGGAGCCATCGTCGGCACCGTCATCGTCTTCATTGGCGTCGTGGGGGCGCTGTTCTTCTACCGCGCACATAAGGCCAAGAGGCGTCGGGCGGAGCACGGCGAGAGGGTTGACGATGATGACGACGACGACGACGAACACCGGCTGCACGAGACGAGGCATCATAAAGGCGATGACGGTTTATTCCAAGGAGGAGGGAGAGTGGTGACGAAACCGCTCCCGGCGAGGAAAAAGACGTGGGACCCTTATGAGGGAGCGAAGACGGATGAATCGGATGGTAAGTTGTCTCTGCTCTGGGTGGCCCAGGTGTGTTGTAAACTGACTGTCGTGAAGCTGAGAGAGGCGAGAGCCATGAAATGCGCACCCAGGAAAGGGTGCGATCATGAACTTCGGAAGATAGGCGTTGGACATCGCGCCCCTGTCTGGGTTTCTGGTTAAGTCTCAATTAGATTGTCCTTGGTCTACCGCGATATTTGGGCCAAGGTTGGATGCCATCATTGATGGCTTTAGGGGAGACTTTCAGATGGATTGGAATCAGCATATCCTTGAAGCACATAGCGCCTGTTTTGTTTTCATGCTGACGAGGAGAGATGAGCGTGCTCCCGACCTCTTCTCAACCCTGAAGTGGTGTGCTGCGTGTGCTTGATAGATGTCAGTCCTTGGAGTTTTCCAGTAGGAACAGGATCAAATTATCAAATCGAATACGTTCACAGACAAATTGTATTAAACGCCAAGTCCTGTTCCAACAACCATAGACTGAGCAAAAATGGGCATTTTGACCCGCTTCGTGATCTTACCTAAACGCCAGAGATGCTTCTCGACCCCACCGAATCATGTTCTACCGTAAATCAAAATCTGATGCACATGCTGCTACTGTTGACCAGGTTTGGGCATATAGCGGCTTCTAAACGCTTGGCTGATGCTGAATCTGCTCCCGATGCCGCCGTCTTGCATCTTACTCGCGAGGGCCTCCTCGAGAGCAGATTGCGTCACAGAGGCGTCTACTGTCAATTAGCACTGCTCAACAATAACGTGTCGTTGCGGAGCTTACCGTCCAAGTCACTGAAGCTGCTGCCCATGCTTGGCGTGCCGTCGCTTCCGTCTCGCGAGTACCCCTTTCTACTTGGGCTCTTGCCAGATAGTTCGGCTGGGCGCCGCGGAGAGAGGGGACCAGCTGGGCGTCTCTCCCCTGTCGAGGGGCCTCTAGATACCATGGCGGGCGAACTGGTTGACGAATCTGATGTCTCGGAGTGGTGAATCTTCTCCTTGCCTTTCGGGGTCCGTCGGGAGTGTCGAGGGTCGCCCCGCAAAGTCGAACCCATGTCTTGTGCTGATGTGTTGGATGATTGCGGCTTGTATTGAAGAAAGGCAGGCTCGGTATCTTCGTCTTCGTCTTCGAGATCAGTCGGTCCGTCGCGCTGCTGGAAGCGAGGTGGGCGACGGATGATGCGCGATTGCGCTGGGCTGGACTCATCATCCGAGGAGGTGGGCGAGCTTAGCTCATCGGCGTCGGGCGAAGTCGGTTCTGGGCTTCTGGGAGTACTCTGAATAGGGAGCGATGACAGGCGACGTCGCTGATTGTCGTTGGATGGCCGCGAAGTGGCAGGCTTGCTCTGGCGGGTCGTAGAACCGCCGCCCAGGTTGCGTGTTATCGTACCGGAGGAGGCATTTCGTGTGATGTTCGGCCGGAGAGAGCTCGTTATGGGCGTCGCTGGCGTGCTTGTATCGGTTCGGGGGAGCGGTGAGTCACGTCGGATGGATAGCGCGGAGACAGTTCGTTGGTGGGTGTGTGGCTCGGCGCCAGGAACGGGAGATGGAGCTGAGGAGCCTTTGGCCGCAGCTGTGGCTTTCCGGACCTGGGCTCGAAGCTGCGCAGTGTGCCGCTCGGTCAAGTAGGCTACTTGCTGAAGAAGGAAGTCGACGGTGACATCGAAATGTGCGGCTCTAGAGAACGAGTGAGCTCGATGGTGTGATTCCGGTTCCTCGGTAGGACTTACAGTTCATTCCCTACACACAACCAAGTTAGCGATGCTCAAAAGCTCAGAAGTTCAAAATGTAGCCATAACTCACAGTCAATCTCCTGCTTAGTTGCGCCGGAGATGATGTTCCATAGCACATCGTCCTTGGCGGAATCCCAGTTGACCTGTATCGTGGAGTCGCATTAGTGCCGGTCCCGCGGCTACAGCACCTGGACGGCTATGGGCGGATGGACTCATGGACTCACCGGAGGGGGGTCCGTGAACTCGCCCCGCAGAATGGGCAGTCTGACGAAGACTGTGTATGTGGGATCAGTCATTCCGATCGTGCGTTCGTCATGCTTGCTGGATCAGCTCTAGGAATGGTGACAGCCTCGGGGGATAGCTTGGGAAGAGTGCGACTTGAAGGAGTGAAGATGACGGAAGAGGGCTGGCTCCCGTTGTCGTTGAGAGCCTTATCGGAGCTGCGGGAGCGATAAGGAGCCCGTGGTGGAGCGGCTGATGACGGCTGGGGCCGGGTGGGCCTGGTGCATGCCCTGTACATGTACCTACTCTCCAAGCGTTTCGGGGAGCGAGCAGGGTGACTTTCGTCTCAGGTTCTCAGCATCGTCCCTTGTCTAACCACATGCACTTACACCAATCGCGACGAACCACGATATTTGTAGCAAGGTGTTCCTTGCCAGGTAGAAGGAATACCATCGGTCGCATCGACACCTTCAACAGAACATCGTCAAGAGTTCTTTGCTGAGAGCGCGGTATCTTTAACTTCCTCATTAGTACCTCTTTGTCCGCATAGTCAGGCCACTCAAGTGAAGGGGAAGATGCCATCTCACACTATTTAGCTACAACCAGCAGGCGCCTCTCTAGGTCGGGAGGCCAGGTCAAACTGAGATGCGAGATCGACTCTCAGCTCGAACACCAAGAGACGTAGCCTACCGAAGTGAGCAATACGAGCTAGCGTGGGATCAATATTCTGGTCAGCTCACTAAGCACCCAGCTGCCGTCGCCAACAACAGGCCACGACAGCCATACTTCCCGCACAAAGAGGACAGGTTTTCCGACGCATGCCCAGTAGAAGCTAAGCTGGCCTCATGATTCTCCTAGAAGAAAGGCCAGGTCATCATCGCCTCCATTGCCTAAGGCGTTCGCGATACTTCAAATCTTTGCATTCACGACAGCCCGATCCATCACAGAAAACTGAAGCTGATTGAGACGCCGCCTTCGCCAGAACGACATAGAGCCATGGGCTTTGGTCTACTCGGTGTTTTGATCTTGTCTCTATCGCTAGCATGCTCTGGTGCATCCGCATTCGAGGTCAATGACTGGGAGGATGCGTGTAAGTCTGACTTCATGTCCATCGTGAGTGTCCCGCCGGAACTCCAAAGCACTCATGAGCGCTGTGATTAATACAAGTTGTGTTGTAAAGAGCCTCGGACCTTTATATACGAGCGTGGGCAAGATAAAACGCGGTGCCAGGAGGATACCGCTTGATGGCCAGAGTAAGTGAACCAAGGAAGTTACAGAATGTAGGACTGATGACAGACTGTGCTTCAGGCTTCACAATCATGGGCTCAGATGAATTAATACATCATGCAAAAAGCGATCCAAGTCTTTCAAGTGCTCTGTTCGATTACGGGTGGGATTATGGCCTGCAGCGCTCTCAACGGTGGTGAGTGCTGACTTCTATCAGTGTTATGGTCTGCGATGCCACCGAACCCGAGTACTTCCTACATCGGGCTATCAAACAATCGATCCCTCACGTAAATTTAAGCGATCGTCATGAAGTTCATATATTCAGAGACTCGATAATCGAAGCCCTCTGGAAATCAAAAAAGGTGGCCGAAACCTGGACACTTGGATCCATTGAACAGGCATTCGTGACTGTGCCGCAATATTTCACCAGGGAAGAACGCGATGTCATCACGGAGGCTGGGGTTTCCATTGGAATAGAAGTCCTTCGCATCGTGAACGCGCCTACTGCCGCTGCTATTGGGCTCGGCATAGACAAGCTGGACGACGAATTCCACTTCATTGTTTATGACCTAGGGCGAGAAACCTTCGAGGTATCCTTGTTCGAGGTTGATGCAGGTGTGTTTGAATGTCTGGCTAGTATCAGTGATCACCAGCTTGGCAAAGAAGTGGGCGAATTGATGCATCAAAAGCAGCTGAGGGGGAGCTGGGTATTCGACGCAACTGAGATGGAGACACTCGAGAAGACACTACCCTTTCTGGGTCAGGCTATCGAAAGCGCGAATTTTTCTATCAATGACATCTCAAAAGTCCTCATCGTGGGTGGCTACACAGGACCGGCACAGTTGAGATCTATGGTAAAGAACTTTTTCGGTACCGCAACCTCTACGATCTTCGACTATCCAGGAAGTCTTCGGTTGATACCAGGCACGTGGGATTATGACCAAGTTGTTACGTTTGGCACTGCTGTCTTTGCTGAGAATGTCTGTGGATGCGGAAGATACGACCTAGTCGGCACACTTGAGGCGAACCCACGATCTGTCCTTCTCGAGATCATTGGAGGCGAGGCGCAACGGGTGTTCCAGCGGTACACGATACTCCCAAGTACTCGCGCCATGACCTTCACCACCACAATGGACGGACAGACGAGGGTCGTCATACCAGTCTTCCAGGGCGAGTTGCCAGATGCGAGAAAAACCGACGAAGTACTCGTTCTCAGGTTGGATTGCATCCCGCCTGGGCCTCGCGGAACTCACACTATCCAAGTCGTTTTTGAGGCAGGCGTTGACACGGCGGACGATGCGTACAGGTTCTTGCTCAAGGCTTCGGTGCATCTCGTGGGTGCAAGGGAGCAGTGTTCGTATAGTGCTTCCGGGGTTCTCCATGACTTTGACGCAATTGACGCCCTCAGCGGCGAAGAAATTGAGCTTGAAGCAGCGTACGTTTATGGAGGAGGAAGAGTCGATCTAGGGTCGCCTGGTGTTTGCATCAACCCTCAAAGCGACATTGACCATTATCACGTGGCGGCAGCTGGATAGCTCTCAGTCAAAGACAACTAGGACTAGCCAGTTGACTAGTTCAAGTATTATTCACTATCCCGCTGATTTGACCTTGAGAACATGCAATCTAGCACCTTGTCAAAACCCCAAGGGGAGCATTCATGGACAGCATCAGCATATCAGTTCGCTAGCAGAATGAACTGCGCTGCGATTCTTTGGAGGAAATCGTAGGACAACACAACTGGGCAGCTCAATCCGGCCTCCCAAATCGGCAAATCTTTCGCGTCCACCGCCAACATTTCCTTCGACCTCATAATATCAGACCTTTTTCGCCTTTAGGCTATCCGCACCGATGTTCTCCACAACCTCATCTCAGAGACCGGTCTCGCCCTGCAATGACTTCATGGAGGTGACCCACCGTCCCACAAGCCAGAGGGACAAATTTTCATCTTTTCATGCGAACCCCATCGCGCTGACACAACTCCGCTTCCCAACCTGCGAGGTAAGAGCCCAATTCCGCGAAGCTCTAGCATCAATCAATCCGATATGGTGTAGTGGCCAACATGATGCCCTCTCATGAGCTCCCACGAGTGAGAGGTTAGGCATAGCCCCGAGTTCGATTCTCGGTTTCGGAAGTTCAGAATAATTCTTTTGCTTTCTGACCTATTATATACATAGATGGGTTGCCGGATTTTTGCCCAACTTTTCTTCCATCTTGTCAATCAATTTATGACTCCGTTCCGAATCGTGATACTTCAGTCTTCGTTTCATAGTGGATTGGTATTCCATTCTTGTCGTCCATCATACGCCCCTGCAACAGACTCCCCTATACCCCAGGTAGCTCATGCCAAACAACTCAAACTCAGTGCACGACCTCAGTCTCCAGAGCGGCTCTCAGGGCCGACTCGTTGCGAGGAGTGAAGGTGACCTTGTAGGAGCCCGGTGTGATAATCAGGTTGGTCAAATCAGCAGCGCCGGTGATGGGATCGGTGTCGATCTTGTCCGTCGACGACAGCTCGAAGCTGGCCAACATGCGGAGGAAGGTGATGTACAGTTCGCGGTTGGCCAGCATGGTTCCGGCACACATGCGGTAGCCCATGCCGTAGGTGAACATGGGTGCTTCGGGGTTCTCCAGCCAGCGCTCGGGGCGGAAGACCTCGGGGTCGTGCCAGAGGTCGCCGTCTGAGGAAGAGTTAGTTTACTGTTTCAGGAAGCATTTGTTTTCAACGAGGGAACAGAGACTGACCCATGTTGCAAGCCCAAGAGTTCAAGAAAACTACGGTGCCCTTTGGTACCAGCTTGCCCTCGTACATGAACTCCTTGTTCGTGGCACGAGGCAATGAGAGGCGGAGGACAGTGAAGAATCTGAGCAAGAAAGTCAGCCAAATGTCGCAGATGGTCAAGAGTGTCGCGTCCAATTCATACCTCAAGCATTCGCGAACCAACGCGCGGAGGTAGGGGATAGTCTGGTCATCGCGTGCATCACACAACGGGTTTCCCTCATCGTACGTCTTCCTAATCGCCTCGAAGGCCTTTTGCTGAATCTCGGGGTGCGTCGCCAAGAATCCAATACCCCACGTCGATACCGCAGTAAACGTCTCGAAGCCGGCAGAAAGCATGGTGAGACTGATCGATGTCAACTCGACGTTGTTGAGCTTCGCCTCCTCATCGAGCATAACGTTGGCCTGGATACACGGCTCATGCGTTCCGTTGCGAATCTTCTCCTCCAGGTCGCCGTTGAGCTTGGACAGGTACTTGTCGCGGCGGATTCTCATCTCTACGGCGTGGCGCTTTCCTGCCGAGAAGGGGTTGTAGCGGAGGAGGGGAATGTAGTCCTGCATGTTGTCCGTGACGCTCCTGGTGCGGCTGATCTCGCCCTCGACCGTCGTGATTTCCTTGAAGAGTCCGTCGTCGTGGCTGGGGAATCGCATGCCCCAGTTCAGTGTGACTGCCAGTGACAAGCTGAGTCTCTGGACCAGGGGCAGGGGGTCGACTGTGACTTTGCCTGCCTTGCCGTAGTTGAGAGCGTCCTTGAGGAAGTCTCTCGTCTCGAGATCCAGGTGGGGGATGTAAGTCTCAATGGATGGGCGGTTGAGAGCGGATGCTGCGCCCTTTCTTCTTCTCTTGAGAGACTCATTGTAGGGAGATGTGCCAATGGTGGTGCCAGCAGTGTTGGCAACGATCTAGAGCGCAAATGTTAGGAACCTCACTTCGGATCTGATTAGACAATGAAACAAACCTTGTGGAAAGTGTAGAGCTCCGGTCGTGAGGCAGTCGCTTGCGAGTTGTTTCCAAACATGACCTTGGCCGCAGCAGCCGTGTTCACAACCAAAACAGGGAGGTTGCCTAGCTGGACCTGATAAACGGCACCAAACTCCTTGGCCCAGTCCTTGTACACCTGTGAGGCATTGCCGCCAAGCTGGTGCAGGTTCCCTATAACGGGGAGTCCCTTTGGGCCATGCCAAGCGGGCAGGCGGGCTTTCGATCTGACGACTTCGTTTGCGATGAAGTACACCAACACCGCGACGCCCAGAAATTTGGCGAGGAACTCGGTCGGTCGGTGAGTTGCCTCGTTGACGAGGCCTTGTACAAGTTCTGCAATGAGCATGATGGGCAGGATGTACAGGGCGCAGACTGTAATTGCTGATTGAGGTCGTTGACTTTGTTGGTTTTTAATGACAACGACAGACTAGACGAGCAAAATCATTTATAATGTAAGATAACTCATTGGGCGGAAATCTCACATTAGAATTCACAGTTCCCCGCGATTTGTCTTGTCCTTGGCCTGGACCAAATCGCGGGGTCCCGAGACGATGGTTTGGTGTCGGAATAGCAGTTCCAAATTCCGCCCCCGCGTCCCGGTGTCGCGCGGAGGCCGCACAGGTCACACTATGACGTGGGATTCGACGGAGTAGTTGGAGGTGGAGAGGTGCGGGCATTGATCGGAATCATCGTCTATAGTGATTATGGTATCATGCCTTCCGCACAAGGGGAAAGTTGTGAGCTGAGCGGCTTGGAGAGAAATGGCCGTGAATGAGCTTAGATGCAGAGCTGCCATTGCCAGCTTCAGGCTCTCGAGCCGATTCCCATGTCCTCCAGGCTCCTCAAGCAAGAGGAAGACACGACGCTTACTCATTTTGTCGCAGTGATCACTTTGTTGATTAAGTTTTGCCAACATCATGCATAGTAAAGAGGCCGAGATTAGGAGAAGAGCCGGCAAATGCAGCAATTTTCACGTAATCATGGTTCAAGGGGATGGCTGAAAGTTGAACGGTTCATAATACATCATGTCATTTCATAGCATATCTACAAATAAGTGTGACACATCCATAGAGGCGTTCATGTCGTCCACGAGAAACGCATCTTCGGGACCTCTCTCTGGATCGAGGCCGTCTCCGTCGGTGCCTAAAACGGGTAAAGGAATTCCAAAGTCTCCTCCGCCATCTATCGAGTTGAAAAAGTCATTCAGCTCCTGCGCCATCTGAGCCTCGGTGAAAGGCTCACCCGAGCCTGCTGGCCATGTATCGAGCTCTGGACCACGCAAGCCATCATCGACAGTTGTCGGCACGCTTCCAGGTGGGATGTCCATCCCTCCAGATGAGGTGGGTGGTGTAACCAGCGCGTTGTCTTGCTGCGTACTAGGCTCTCTGACTTCCCTAGAGTGAGGAGCATTCAACCCCAGCTTTCGCCAAGCGAGCCGCAGGTCGCTTATTCTCCTCCAGAGTCGACTCGATACGTATGACCTGGCGCTGAGACCCCTGATCAGATCCAGTGCGGTATGGAACTCATCGCGGACCGATGCGCCATGCTCCGTCGGTGACAGCGCCACGACTAGGAAGATGACTCCGAGAGCGGAGACGAGGAAATGATTGAAGCACATTTGTTGGTTCTGGTAGACGTCTGTTGATTTATTAAGAGAGTCAAGCATCTGGATGGTGTCCTTGGCCAGGTTGACGAGTGACTGAACCTTGGACTTGTTGGACTTGAGACTGGATGTTGAGTGGAGAAACGGTTGAAGAAGAAGGATCTTCATTTGGTTGGCTCGTAGATGAAGCAAGACCTGTAGCCGCTGAAGACCTCTCGATGTCGCAGAGTTCGTATTCGGACTGGCCGTCTGCTCATTTGAAGAAAGCCTCAAGTCTTCCGGCAGATCTTCATACCATTGGTCTATGCGGTACAGCAAGTAGGAGATTTCGTCGTCTCTGATGGCGCCCGTTGCTCTTGCTGAGTTGTACGATGTCGCCCAAACTTTGTCACCGATTCGGCTGTACTCAACCATGGCTCTGAGATACGGAACATCTTGATCCTGTAGTTGAAAAGGTCAAAAATCAACTCTCTCATAATCGTAGCTGGACATTGTGTAACTCACAGGTTCCGGTAATTGCTGGTCAACATCGAAGTTATGCATCACGAAGGGCAACCCTGCGCCAAAGCCCCAACGCCGGTCCAGTGTGTAGACACACCAGAACAGCCGCATGGCCATCTTCCGTTTTCCAGCATCCTTGAAAGTTTTGCTGATGGTTGCTGACTGATGGAGGCCCATTTCCAAACACCATCGGGCAACAATGCCGACAAGTCTCCAAGCTTGCAAATCATCACCAGTCATGAAGCTATAAACAGCCTACAGGTCTATGTTAGTAACCTTGGATCCATTCAACCTATTGAAGAGGGATACCTACCAGTAAGATGTAGAGCATAGTCGACTTGATGCTCGCGGATTCCCATAGCTTATCATGTGATGACTTCCTCACATCGAGGAATAGGGACCTGCCAAGTTGACTTGAGCCTCCAGCTTCTACTGTCAAGGCTGTTGATAGCACCATCTTGACCAAGCTTAGATCTTGAGGGTCAATAATAGTCGGCCCTGGGATTGCAGCAAAGGCAAACCCAAGGCGAGAACCGCTGTTCATAGCATGGTAAAGGCTTCGAACCCGTTCGATAAGCCACCCAATGTCGAGAAAGGGGTACTGGATCCCAATCTCTTCTTCATACACATTGCATAGCCGTACAGCTTCCTCTTCATTGATTAGCCACAAAGGATCTATTGACCCGACGTCTAACCCAAAGGCTGTTTGGATGGATGGTGAAGGTGGGCGAGTTGGGTTGACAGATCCGGGCATCCCGCCGGACTCGTGATCGGCGGTGCCGATGCCCCGTGCCCTCAGATGTGTTCTTGCAAGACTGATGTTGAAGGTGTAACTGGCGGATGGTTGAGGCTCGTCTTGGCTAGCGGAGGATTCAACATCCACGACAATGGGGTCAGGTTGGAGGGCTGGGTCCACCACTTGATCATCCGGATTGCCTAATGAGACCGGGAGATCTTGGATTACTGTTGGTGCAACCTCAGAATGGTGAGGGCTTGACTGGTTTTCCGATGGCTGCTGGGACTGGTGCCGACGTAACTGGTCCAGGCCTCCTTGCAAAGAAGCCACTTGATCCCTTAGAGACTGAATAGCTTGTGCATCGGTATCACTACCAAGTTAGTTAACAAAAAACCGTTTTCATCTCGAGCCACAGACTTACGCGCTATTCCCTCGGTCTTTGCGTGGTTTCTTCGAGGCCGGGTATGCACCTAAGGCTATCAGTCTTCCTCGCCCAGCATCGGCAATGGGTGGAATGGATCAACCCACAAGTCAATGCCTGACGAGCGCAACGGAAACAAGGGCTCTTGCCATTGCACTTGCTCTTTCTTTTCCGGCACTCGAAGCTGCAAGGGTTTCGAAACGTAATCAGTGTAGGCCAACAACCAACGCCTGCTGACGTCGGAATACCGAAGATGGGTCTTCTTACCAGGCCTTGGAAATGTATTTCCCTCGAGTGGTCCGGGTCTTTGGGGCACTCGGAATTCCGCTCTTCTGAGAACCGGGGGATCCGGCTTGCGGGCCGTCGCCGCCGCCGACCGAGCTGGGAGATTCGGGAGAATCCATGTTCCAATCGAAAAGTAAAAAGTGATAGCACGTGATCTCCTTCCGCTCTCTTCTTTTCTTCGTTCTTTTTTTCTGGGACCTGCTTCTTTGAGCGAAGCAGTCGAATGATAATCGAACGATAAAAGAGGTCGAGAGAAAAAGGGCGGAATTTGAGAGGTAGGGTTTCCGGGGGGTTTTGAAGGATCTTAGCTGGACATTAACCCCCGCCACCCCGCAAACTTAAGCCGCTAGATCTCTGGGGTAGGGTGGCATTCAGCGGGGGTTGATCACTATCCGTCAAAGCCGGCGTCATACCCGAAATCCTTCCCGGGATGCGTTCAACATTTGACTAATTGGGGGTTCATGATTGATCACTCGTCCTTCAACACTTCTTTCCCCAGGAATACAACATGAAGTACTGACTCAGAATTGCAGTTACCTTACTGGACGTTCGTATGGGGACGGAGATAAGAGCAGGAACCTACCTGACTCGGGTGCCAGCTGGACTAAGCTTGGAAGGGATAGATGGTCTTGTGCTAAATTTTGCGGAATGGCGGCGTCCGCAGGGTTTCACCTCACCACAAGTCTTGCAACTTGAAGTTGAAATAGAGCTCTCATAGTAGGTCGATGTTCCTCGAGATACAATCTAAATGAGAATAACAGTTACACATGGTGTTTATCACTGGAAAGTTACACGCCCATATAGAGGCATATCTCGTAGGTAGGTAGATCGATCATGTAGCAACTGCCCATCCCAACAAAGATGGGAAGAGCTTGCAAAGGATGTGCGCATGCAACTTTCTGTACCATATGTGACTGTTAGGATCTTTCAGACGTATATGACCCTCATCGAAATCATCGAGATCTGAAATCCTTGACAGGCGCGGATCGAAGGTTCTTCTAGTGATCGAATGCCATCGGTGTCCAAAATGCCTGTTTGAGGTGGAATGGCAGGGCTGGCGGCGGAATTTCCGGCGGTTCCATACGCGCAAAGCGAGAGCGGAATTCGGAAATACTTCCGCTACCGCGCTGATCGGTGTGTTTCACTGAAGTTGTTGTCTTGAAGAGACATCCCTCGAGGAGAACATAGGTGACACTGTCTTCCATCCATGCAATCAGGTATGACTGGTAAACTGATATATGAATGTGCAATGATTTCAGCTGTTTTGCGCCCATGATTATATCGTACCTAGGGCGCAGTGAACATTGATGCTGACCTCATCAGAGGTCTCGTTTCCAGACTCCGAGTGCCACCATCCGGAAATGCAAAGTTGCCCCAGGCGGCTGAATCTTATTTCTATCACATCTAACTTAATGAAGCGATGCCATATAATGGGCTTCTCCCTGGATCGAAACATTCTTCGTCAGTATGCGTTCAATCCATGAGATTGCAGGCGTTGCCTGGGGTCTTTCCTGGTTTAGCTAGGTTGTTTAGCAATTTCAGAACACCAGTAGCCGTACGACTGTAGAGGGAAATTTTAAACGACTTTTTGGAACACGCGACAAACTAATGCGAAGACTTTGGAGAATCCCTCGAAATTATAAGCATGCTAACAGCAAATAAGCAAGTCAATACTGGGATAGCTTACTGGTGAGGCGCCAAAAAATTGTGCAATGTTGGAGGTGTGGTGTATAACCCTTGCCAATCGTTGCACCTTGGTTTGACCGTGTGCCTAATGCGTCCTTGTTGATAGAGTATAGTGTTGCTGGCTAGCATCTAGACAGAGGACCGATGTGGAAGTCGCCCAGATTCTTCTTGATCAGCTCATCATGACTGCGAGGCTTACGTCTTAACACAGGTAAATCTTGGGCTAAGTTCGATTACTCCCAGAAGGCCGAGACCTGGATAAACCCCCTCGTTCGGGGCGATGACGCGGAATTCAGTCGAAATCCCATTCAACTAGTACATTGACGGCCTGCCCTCGACGATATTCGTCAAGTTGGTACCTAAAAGCCACGGTCCCATCAACGCGCGGGACGTTGAAAGTATTTGGAGGGGGAGTCCTATTGTGCTTATGACGAATCCATCTTCCCATCTCATGTCATCCAGGTGTCTGTGAGGGACCTCATGCTATCTTGATGTACCGATATTATCGAGTCCCCCAAGATATTTTGACGGCTCCTGATTTACTGACGACTTCCGTAGACTGATTTGCTCGTAGTAGTTGGCATGACGATGCTGTCTTCTCTGATGGTTCAGACTTGCGTTGAATTCGGTTGATCGGGGCAAAGCAAACCGAGCGCTTGTTCAAATACACGAGGATCCAATTCTCATTGCAACTCGTGGACAGATCACCCCATCTCTGTAGACCCTCTCCAATCTCAAAACGCGGGGTCGACATTTTTACATTATTTCCTTCTACTTTGTCACCAGAGACATCGTTTTGAAGTCGAATATTCTCACAAAATGAGTCTGTTGACATTGTTTGCGGCGGACTCCGCACGGCCGTTGTGGGACAGCGAACCCATCGATGGGGCATTTGAAATCGACCTTCCACAAGGGACTATCGACCAAGGAGTTGTCAAAGCAGTCTCAAGACCATGGTTATTTGGCTATAAGCCAACGACGAAGCCCAACGGGCGCGCGGTGCTCATTCTGGGTGGCGGCGGTTACATCGAGCTCATGGTGGGCCGTGAAGGTGTCGCCGTCGCACGCTGGCTCGCTTCTCTCGGCTTCGAGGCCTTTGTACTTGTACACCGATTCCCGACAGCAGAAACAGGACCCCAAGCTCCCGTTGAAGATGCCAGACAGGCGTTGCGTCTGATCGAAGAGAAGGCGGCGCCAGCGAGGTTAGCGTTGTGCGGTCTGTCCTCCGGCGGACACCTTGCGTCCGCGCTGCTGGCCGAGTACCCGGCTTCGTGGGCGTCTTCTTCCGGGCCACCGGTGCCGAAGCCGGAGTTCGCCATCATTGGATACGGACCTATCTCTACCAATGCCAAGGGGCACACCATTATCCCCAATAAGGCGCCCCTCGAGCCGCCGGCGAAGCAGGAGCTTTACGATGTTGTCATCCCCGATCAGCAGATTTCGCGCCCGGCACCGCCAACTTTTATTGTGTATTCTGCCAGCGATCCCGTGGTGCCTGTGGTGAACGCATACCGGCTTGCGCAGGGGTTGCAGGCAGCGGAGGGGTCTGTCGAGCTCCACGTTTTTGCTGACGCGCCCCACGGCTTCGCTTTGGACACTGAAGGGTTGCCGGTCTCGAAATGGCCCTCAATGGCCGAGGAGTGGTTACGGCAGAGAGGATATCTGGCATGAATATTTGAGAAGTAGTAAAATGTCAAACTCTGCAGTACATTTAGACCATTTACCTACTTGTTGTACATGAAGCTTGCAGAGGATCAAACCGCCTGATGAGACGAACATACGAACATACGATAAACTCAATGGGCTCCTGCTGTAAATGAAGAGCCCGGCCGCTAAAGCAAGTTGCATCAGGCACCCAATTAGCCCCCAACCGCCACGTTAGCCATCGAAGGATCATGCAGTCATCTTTAAGCGCCCGTTTCGCGCCAAACATTTCGGAACTGCCACCACAGATACCAGGAGCTGAAGTCGAAATGTCGGAAACTAATGCAAGGCTCCCGGGGGTTGCCCCTACATTGACACACATATAACAAGGGTCTCTCAGTATTGAGGCGCTCATAGGCCCATCATCATATGGAGAAAGTAGCCCGCCTTGATAATTTTTTGGCCTGAAGGTTAGAGAAGCTTGAATAAAATATAGACAATTCTGTCACCCGACTGTAACAGGCAATCACTGAAACTCTGATCTTGCTTGCCTCAATCAGGCTCCACCGCTCTTGACAGTATAATGTCACACCTTGGCCTTCGCTGAACTCGAGAAAGAGAGGAACTTATTAGAGAAGAACACTTTCGCAGCCATTGATTTCATGGCAGCAGCTTAACCCCCACTACTGCCAACATGGCGCCTAGGTCGGAGTATTCGCGGTCTTCGACAAATACCCGCAGTCTGTTCGATGATGATTCTACGGAGAACAACAAGAACGCTTTCATCGTTGGAACGCATCCACTTCTTCAACGGGATGTAGAGCTTGATAGCTTCCTAGCGAAATCATCCGTTAGCGGCGAGGACAGAAGCGCAGACGACATTACTAGGCACACAGCAGCCTGGTGTCCAGCATGGCTTCGGTCAGGGACATTGTTGGCATTCGCCGCTTTGTTTCTTCTCTTCGGCGTCTCTCTTATTGTTATGTTTCAGTTTTCCCAGCAGAATAGTGGTCTGGTCACCACACGGCAGAGCCTTGTTTATCTCTGGCGATTTGGCCCAACAGCAGGTAAGAGAAAACTGTGAAGACTTTGTGTCAAGAGAGGCTGACATTCAACAAATCAAGTTCTCACTCTGTTGTCCATTTTCTGGTCAAGAGTCGAGTTACAGGCCATCCGCTATATGCCTTGGATCGCATACCGCGACAACCCATCGATGGGCAGGGACGGGTGCTCTCTTGACTACACAGCAATGCTGTCGCCTTCGATTCTTTATCAATCTCTGCGGAGAAGACACTTCCTTGTCTTCATCATCTCCGTTGTGTCTCTTTTTATCAAGATCCAGATTGTTCTTGCCCCTAGTTTGTACAGCCTAGTCAGCTTCCAGGCTGAACAACCCGTCGATGTTCGTGTGCTCGACTCGTTCAATGTCAGTACTCCAGCGATGTCCAACAGAGAGACTAGTGCATACTACATTGCAAAGGCCCTGCAGAATTTCGAAATGAAGCTACCATTTGGGGTCACAAAGGAAGGGGCCTATCAAACGTTCTCGTCTCGTCAGGGCTCCGGGCGGGGAACAGAAACGGAACCGATTACAGTTACTGTCGATGGGTACTTTGCAGAGATGAAATGTCTGAAGCTTAGTGACTACTCGCATACAATCCTCAAGGAAACAGGTCCCGCCAGAAGTTACTACGCTTTCAACGCCAGTCTTTTGTTCGAGGGCTGTGATCAGCCTGTCCCAATTACCACTGATCGAATGATGTGGATCAATTCCAGCCCGAACGAGACGACATTACAGAGCAGTTGGAGTGTCAACAACCTCCTCAATGAGCCAAAGCCGTGCTCAAACCTTCCACAACAACACAACCAGTCTTTGTACTACGCAACTCGCATTGGACCGTCAGCAAAGAATACGTCTCATCCTGATGTTCTTAATTTTGCGGCGATTTTGTGCTCCTCGACGGCCTGGACAACCCCAGTGGAGATAGTTGACGACGGCGTGAGCCCGAATATGACGGTCATACCGGACGGGTCCAGGACAACCGTCAACGCGGATCTCTGGTCCTTGTTGGGGAGCTCCATTCCTGAAACATCTGGACTTTGGGCTGGCTCAGGGACTGGTATTATCTTTGGGCCGATCATTACAGGTTTCCAGTTCAACGAAAAGGGAACGAACAATGATACTGATCCATCATTGTTCACTAATGATGTTCTTTACGACGCGGTCATGAACACGAGCAGTATCTTAGGCCCTTTAATCGGCCACTATCGTCTACGAGAAGAAAGCATTTCCCAAAGAACCGGAACAACGGTCGCCACCATCGAAAGGCTGACAGTAAACCAGTGGGTTTCACTGTCGATGACAGCGCTGTTTTTCCTACTTGCTCTTTTGACCGTGATCGTCCTGCTTCGCTACAGAAACAGGATGGCAGTATGGCACAGAGATCCCGCCACGATTCTCGGAAACATGCTGTTCTTCCGCGACAACATGGGACTGTCGAACAACATCATGGCTTCTCAGTCGCGTGGTCTCGACAACGAGTGGAGTTCTTGCGAGTTCACCCCTTTGGTACTGAGAACATGGACACGAGTGCCAATCTCTGTCCTGATTCTTGGAATTATCGGTGGGCTATACTACACCTTAAGTGTGTCGGAAACGCAAGAAGGGCTTGCCTCTATAAACGCTGATGGTTATTTGCATCTGCTGTGGACGTCGGTTCCAGCACTGGTGATGCTCTGTGTTGCCCTGTATGTTGGATGTTGCGACTCCGCATATCGAGGTTTGGCGACACTTTCAAGCCTTTCTCTGAGACCGTGTAGCGTAAGACTTCTCGATATGTCATTCCTTGACATGATGGGTCTAAGGGCATTATACTGGTCGGTCCGAAAACGTGTTTGGGCTGTCACGCTGTCACAGTTGCTTACCTTCCTCTGCGCATTTCTTACAACCCTAGCTTCGGTTATGTTCACCATAGACCCCGTGCCTAGCTCTACGAACGTCCAGCTGCGACAGACAACATGGTTCGGATCACGTCAGATGACGTTGAACAACGCTGGATCCTTCGCAGCAACGCGAGACTCGCTGAGCAGCCTTGTCCTGCGTAAGGGCGATGGAGCTTTGACATACCCACGGAACACCTACGATGATCTTGTTTTCCCGGTCCTCGACGGACTGCAAGGAACAGAGGCTTCCCCAAATATTTCTATCCAGCTCAGTGTTCCGGCTGCCAAATTGGCTCCTACCTGTGTGCAGTTGCCCGCCAGCACCTACAACATCACATTCCGGAACTACACCGAGGAGGACAAGTTCTTCGAGGTCCTTATGGTCGAGTCGTTCGATTGTCCCAACGGAAACCGAGCGCAGCTCCCGGGAATCATCTCCATGAGTACCGCTACCAACAGGCTAGGCCGCTCATACTTTTCAGACATCCTCGAATCACCAGGAAACACGTATTCCATCAACGGGCTTTGTAAACTTGGCTTGAACATGAGCGCTCCTGACTACATTTACTCTCCGTTTCGATTCCAAACTTACGTCTGGGGAGAGTTCAACAAAGAGAAAAACGATCTTGATCATCTCTCCATCTGGAGATGTAACTACACCTGGGTTGAGATGAGTACTCAGGTGTCATTATCCATGGAGTCGGACAGTACATACATTCTCGACCCTGAAAAGCCGCCGGAACCCGATCTATCAACTACAAAGCTCTGGGATCCTCCATTCGACGTTCCTCACTTCGACTTTCAGTTTATCAACTTTCAGGCGGGTGACGCATTCCCAACTGTTAGCCTAAACGACCCGCTCGCCGGTTCAATGGAAAGGCAATTCACAGTCTTGATAGAGCCATACGGCCAACTACCACTGAGCGCATTGGGAGATCTTAGCCAGGAATCCAACGTTCTTAATGGTCTGAAACAAAACTTAGGTTTCATTGGTGCCCAGCTCGCCAACTTAGAGAATCGCTTTGGCGTCACTGAGAATTCCAGAAATCGCCCTCCACCTGCCGATGGTCTCCCATCGCTTGAAGCAACCATTATAGACAGAAGCAAACGACGCTTAATCCAGAACCCCACAATCACATTTATCTTGATTGCGGTACTGGGCTTAGTGGCTCTGTGTAACATAATGGCAGTACTCTCCGCCGCTACGAGGGATCTTAGTGGAATGCCGCGATTATTCGATATGGAAGTGAAAGGGTTGGCGCCGGATGGTTTCCATAGCATGGCGTCCATGGTCAACCTGCTTCAGGGCTCAAATTCACCAAGCCACCTACCACAGAGCATTCATCTACTGTCAAAGGGCGACCTCTACAGTCGCATGGATGACTTGAGCTTCAGAATGGGCTGGTTTCAGAGAACCCGAGATCAGGCTAGGCATTTCACTGTTGGAATACTGGGCGATGAAGAGTTTGTCTACATGCACGGGGGTAAGCGCACCAGGGATACAAAATGAAGGCTTTGGCCTGTTAAGTGAAAAGAACCTTGAAAGATCTTCGTCCATCAGCAGCTACTGTGCCGGCGCGGAGGAAACTTCATCTTAGTACCTTAGATGTTGACAAATCGTCATATTCAGCACCGTAGTTCAGGGTATGTCGGTATCGCATTCTTCAAAAGCGCGGAATGCCTATAAACGACAAGATTGAAGACGCACTCAAGCTTTTGGAACACGAAGTATCCAGAATTTCAGATGACATGTGAGGGAATTATCATGGCATTGTAAGAGCACGTCTCAGCAGTTCAGTCCTCTGATCAACAGTAACTCGTGAAATGATATGTTTTGAATTTTCCAACGTCCCTATGCAGATTGGACTGTTGTTTCTTGTGGTTGCTTGTCGTCGCCTTCCATCACCGTGCCGTGCCTGTCACCGGCGATCAATGCGAACGGATCAACACCTACGGCAGCACGGCACCGGCCCGCACGTACTGCTGCCGTCTTCGGTATCGGGTTTTCGTATTTCAGTACTTTTCTCATCCCATCTTTACCCTTACTGCGAATGGATTACTCATTTTGACCAGTTTTCAACAGGGAACTGCTGCTGTCGGCCTCCCATCTAGCTTGTGTCAGCCTCGGTCAGACGTCAACTGAAAGCTTACTGGTTTCCCATTTCTA